AAAAAAAAATTTCTCTTTTTTTTTCTGTGGATTCTTGCTGAGGAACTGAGAGAGCTCTGTTGTTCTAGGTTCGAATGGGAAGAAAGGGGGAGAAGGGTTCAGGCTTTGCAGGAGGTGGGGCCCACTGTCAGAATCATACTGCCATGTCATCTTTTTTTACAGGTGTGCATATGAGGTGTCACTCTATTTTGACATTTCATCATGTTTCCGTTAATTAATAGGACACGTCACTGGATTTTTTTTAACGGAGGGACTAAATTGGGGTAAAAATCGTAAAAAGTAAGGACCAAATCAGGTATTTTTGAGTTGAGGGACTAAGTCGGGGGTCCGTACAATAGTTGAGGGACCAAAATGGGGGTTTAACCTAAAAATAAATCTAAATCAGAATATAAAATTAACAGCATGAAATTGAATATAGATTACCTTAATAGATATTGGTATCATGATGGAACATAGAAGCTCAAAACGTAGAGGAATCACTAGTAGTTCATACCATGGCCCTTTATCTGGATATTGCACATACCATTGCTGCAAAAAGAGTTCACAAAGTACATCAGAATCTGCTATAAAATTCATACTACAAATATAAATGCAGGAGAAAACACAAAGCATCATTCACAAGCATATATAAACTGTAGAAGAGTTCTAAACTCAAATACAAAGCTTCAACTTAAATTCAAATAGCTCTTAATGAACACAATACAATCCTGTAATCATTTAAAACAAGAAAGAAAAACTGATAGTAAAAGACTTTTTATAGACTCCAACAGGTTTGGTCCTCAAGTTGCTAAAACAGCAAGTTTACAAGCTGCAAACAAGTTGAGAAGCAAAGTAGTCTCGTCTCATTCTTAGCACATGAAACCATGAACACAAAAACTCATAACCTCAAAAATCCAGCCAATTATTATTCTGCTTAACAAAATGACGTTACTTCAATACCATAAATTGAGGTTGGCCTTTGCTTCAGCATCAATTAACAAAACATGATCACACTACCCTCCTATAGTAAAATAACTTCTCTGCAGCATTTCAAGAAATCATCCTAGCAGTTCCAGAAATTCTGAAATAGTTTCATTGCAAAAACTTCAACTAACATCCTCAATAGTCAGTCCAGAATGTATTTCCAACCATGTCCACTCTGAATATGTGCCACAGGAAACTAGGCAGTAGTTATGGTTTAGCATTTATAAGCCAATTCAAATCAACTGTTCAAAAAGAACTTTACCAGCCAACAGTCAAAAAGGTCCTTCCATGAGGGAAAAGTTAAGGCAAATAGACAATTTTGAAATTGATAAATTTTCAGAACTAGTTATTCATTCAAAATAAAGACTTCCTAATTAACATGATGAAAAGGTTAATATCAAGTTGAAAATGTAACTGCTAGACATCGTAAAGAGAAACACTAGACATTTGCCAAAGCAAGAAATTGAATATATGGCAAATAACAACAAAAGAAACTCAAGTTTTCAAGTTGAGCAACCTTTCTTGCTTCCGTATCCTTCCAGACATTTCCAGCTATACCAAGAACCATTACCACCACTATCTGGAAAACAAATATTGCCCCAGTTAACTTGTCAATCATGGCATCTACTGCCGTAAGCTTGGGTTCAGGTATTCCCCTACTCATTCCCAACTTTGTTTCATTTCCTGAAGACAAAATAAAATAATTAAAAGAATTGCAGCAAATTATATGAGCAGTATCACAGTGAAAATAAAATTCTCAATAAACCATCAAATGGATCATTTCCAAAGTTAAAAAATGTTAGACAGACATTTAGATAGAAATCACAAAGCCAGTTGCAGGGAGAGACTTTTTTGAGAAACAAAAATAACAACAAAGCATTTAAAGCAAATTATGGGAGAGAAGACAGCAAAATTTTCCACAGGAATTTCAAGTGAAATAAATAAGGAGAAAAGTATCATATCAACAATGCTTCTATCCAAATAACAAATTTCTCATAACTGATAACAGGTCACCAAAGTGCAAATACAATAATGCTAAAATAAAGAATGCATGGATGAACAAAGAGGCTGAGTAAGAGCTGGAAATAAGATAAAATGATTGCAGGCTAAAAATGAATATTAAGAGAAAACCATTATCTGAAACAGAAAATCAAGATTACATTCACGGGTAGTCTAAAAGTACCATTGTATAAGACACTATCAAAGTAAATGCTAATAACCCCTTTATAAACTGAGTGGACACAAGATACTTGAAGACAAAGCTAACCCACTGGATGCCCCCCAGAGCAAAACAAAAAGGCACTTAACAACTCATTACACACCTCATTTCATGCACATTTATATGTATTTAAGTGATTGCAAACAACCTAGAATGGTAAAAACGACAGGAGTCCAAATTTTACATGCTTATTTTGCTCAAACATTGAGATTTAGATCAACCATCAGATGAATGCATTTTAATTTGTATCTTTTCCATTGTGAAAATTTTGCACATTTTTGCATACCAATTTGTGTAGAGAAATGCTTGTTCACATCATCTATTAGCTTTTAAACACAGTCCTCTTGCATATGGAAGGAAAACAATTAAGGAAAAGAAAATGAAAAACAATACATAAAAACAGCAATGTTACTTAGTTATGATCCTTGATATTTCATATGCACGGGAACTTGCCTGTGTAGACAGCTACTCCACAAGCCCATTCTGTATTCCGTAAGTAGCATGACTGAAGAATTGTATTTTTTATGGTTAAAGGACACACATCATTATCAAGAAATGGAGGAAACAAGCGCAAATTTGCATCAAATCTTCTAATATCCTTATCTGGATTAGGACACTCAACAAGACCCTGAAAAGAAAAGGAAAGAAAAAAAAAAAATAGAAACGATCACAATAAGAACAAATAGGGAGTTTGGGTTCTAATTCAATAAATAGTTTTCAAAAGAAAGCTTGCCTTGATTTTGTGCAATAATTCAAAATCTATTCCCATGCAAGCAGAAGGTATGACCCTCGTCTTCAGATCAGTTTCACCATCAAGGGCTGAAGTCTGCAAAATATGTTGCACTATCAGAATCCTACAGAAGTAAAAAGCTAACACAAGTTCTATATGAAAAGCAACATAAGCATCATGCAGAATGTTAAAAACATAACTATAAAAATTTCAAGAAAATTCCCTGTGGTTTTAGAAAAATGGGAAGGGTTTCATGAATCCAGATTAGATCAGAGGCAGATAATAGGGCCAATAAAACCTGACAGTGTGACTATCAATTTAACAGAATGGGACTACTACCTCCTGGAGCTTTAATAAATAATGTTTGATTGTTCACAACTAGAGAGTATTGATGCAACTGAAGTTAATGTATAATTGACCTCAAAGCTATTTAGCCAAGACAATGATATTGATAAATTTTCATATGCATATGCATACATGAGTGCATCTAAATCATTTTGCATATGCATGAAAATCTGAACAACCCTTGATGCTCATATTACACTCGTTTTGAAACAAACTGAAGACAACCCATGTGGATACTAGCAGCATACATGTTCTATGGCAGTTTCTCATCATGTAAAAGAGCATTAAAAATTCATAACACATCATTGTGATATACAAAACTCAGTTAATCTAGAAGGAGGGGAATTCACAAAAGGAGTTTAAATAATTTCTAAATGAGTCATAAAAGGATGAAAGGCCAACTGCATACTGTGAATCTGTAGTCAACAACACAAAATACAAGTTAGCAACACAAGCACGAGAGGACAACAACCTTCTTTCCTTCTTTCAGCCCAAGATCTTAGTCTGATTTAGATTTTTCTTATTTTGTTTACCAACATCTCACACAATGAAAGAGACCCAAGAACTTTTCCACATGAAGCTGTAATTTAAGTTCACAATTTCACATGATGGTGGGGATAAGATTTGACCCCAAATTTTGCTACCCTGCTACCCTTTCTAGACTCATAGTTCAAACATGGAAAAAAACCTTTCAACATTTATAACTAAAATTTATATAAGACTGCATATTCACCTCTATATAGCAGAGACCCTGTGGGTCAGAGGTACCCATCAAAACAAGATCACATGGCACTTCATCATTCTCACGAAGCCAGACTATGTTCCCTACATGAATGTCCTGTGCTTGAATCTGAAAAACCAATGAAATAAAAAGAGAAAGTAAATAGTTAGTATCAAAGAGCTATATGGGAGAAAAAAAAAACCTAATTATCAAATGAAGTTAATTGTTCAATTTGAAGAGGAAGATAAATTTTGAGCTATCCAAAGCATGTCACCAGAAAATATGCAATCAATACAAATAGAGGTAAATATCACACATGCATACCTCATGCCAAGCCAGAGCACACACACGTGCAAAGATAGAGCACAAACATGTGCACGCACATTCTCACACCACATAAAAACACACAAAACAAGTTCTTGTATTCAGTTTAAAATAATCAAAAGTAAGAGAAGATTGAGGAGAAGTTTCCATTACATGTTTTTTGATGCCCTGCCTAACAACCCAAACTTCTTTCTCATTAGCTTTCTTGTCTGACAGATATCTATTATAGTCATCCCAAGCTTCTTTGGTTGCAGAGACTGCAAATATAAATATTAGCGGGCCCCATGTGCTGGCAGGATTCACTGGAGTAATAAGTGACCATAGCTGAAGGCAAGCGATCAACAAGAAATACTGATTCATAAACCGGCTGAAAACAGGAAAAAAATACGTCTCTTAAAAGTAAGTGATGAGAAACAAATAAAAAGAGATAAAAGGTTAGAAAATTTTGAACCAAAAACATGCACAAACCCTAATCTCATATTCATTCTCATGCACAATTGATACGCAAAAAGCATGAATTAGAAAGAAATCACACAACCTTTATTCTCAAAAAGGTGCCTTTATTATGTGTCAAACTTTGGGAATGCAGTGAGTCAGTGACTATTCATGTAGAACATATGAATTATCAACATATACACAAGTAAACCACAACCAAAAACCAAAAAATAATAATAATAATAATAATAATAATGAAATAAAACAAAAGATGGAACACCTGAACTGCTCCCATAAGTTCTTTGGGAGGAAGTTCAACACGGTATATTTTCTGTTTGATATACGATTGACACAGTAAAGTTGTTGTCTTGATGCTTCATCATCATTGATATAAACATATCGCTTCATGGCTGCCTCAAAGCCAAGAAATCTTGACTTTTAGGTTCTCTCCACATCCATGACACAGAGAGCTGCTCAATAACATTAAGATGCCACATCAGAACAAGGAAATGCCAGAGTTTTGCGCAAAATTCGGCAGAAATTAGCATTCATAACAAAAGATTTACAACAAATCACCAGACTGAATAGATCAATACAGAAAAATAAACAAAATAATTTAATCAAATTGCAAGGTTCAACAAGCTCCACAAGAACGGATCCAGAAATCGGAAATTTGGAATTATTCATAAATCAAACATCAAAAATAACGAATTGCAGGTTTTGAAGAATAAACTCCCTAATTCGTTTCGAATCTCAATCGTCCGAACTTTAAAGAAACAACCTGCTGCCGGAAACTATTACTGAGGAGCTGTAATTCTGAAACCTTGAATTGAAATGAGAAATAAGTATAGATTAGATCGTACCTTTTTCTGATGCTGTTTTCTCCGGTTTCTTCTTCGTCTTCTTCCTCCGACCTTTCCTCGCCCTTGTTTCGTGATATTCAGTTTGACCGAGAGAGAGCTGTGGGTCTTCTACTTGCGTTTACACCGTCCGATTTTTTGGGAAACCGTAGGCATCGGGTGATGTGGTCAGAATTTCGTTTCGGGTCCCACTCTACGACTTTTTTTTTTATCAAACGGTACGCTTGGGTTGGGCATGGTTATTGCCACTGGCCTTTAGTTATTAATTTATAATTTAACTAGAGATGACCCCGCGTTGCGGAGTGTGCGGTTCGGTCCATCATAGAATGAGTAAAAAAATGGTTCTTTTAATTATATAAATTTCTTTATACATGAAAATTATTATAATTGAAAGTTTTTATAAATTGAAACTATTACTTTTTAACATTTTCACCCGAACTTCCCAAAATATTTGTAATATTTTGAATCTTGGGATGTAGAGAAGGCTTTAAGCTTACTATTTCCCTTGGAGTGCAATAGTTAATTTTAGAAATGTATTCCCTATTGGCAGTTCAACTAGTTCAATCTCAGAAGGTGTCAACAAGTGTGGCATCAGTACTTCTCAATAATATCTTCTTACTACTAGACTCCTTTAGTTCTTGCTCGATGCATCACATTTTAAAGGAAGGTAACTCTGTTGTTGACTTTATAGCTTTCATTGGGCATAAACTTGAAAGGGTACAACCTTCTTTCCGACCCCTCAAATGGGAATTAGCATGACTTTGCAAGATGACTGTACTGGGGCTATGTTACTTAGATATTAAGCTTCAATAGCTTTTGATGTACCAAAAAATAAAAAATAAAAAATAAAGTTACAAAATGTATTCTTATATTATAACAATGCATATATGAAGTTTTACTTAACTTTATCAAATTCTATTATCCTTTACAAAAAATTTCAAATATGAGAAATTTGCTTGAATAGGTCCTTTATAGTTTATACTACTCCTTTTGCTGGTGAGACCATCCTCTAAAAAAAGTTACCAATTTTCTGCTTAAAGATTAACATTACATAGTTATACAAAAACAACTTAATTAACCAAAATGCTAAGTTGAAAGAAAAAAATATATATGTTCAAAACACAAAACAACCCTCAAAATTGTAAAAGCATCATGTTGGTATGGGAAGCTTACTGCATTTCATTGAAGACATTTTAGTTTTAGCTTAATTGAGTACAGACATCAAATAATATAAAACATATATGATTACTCAAATAATAAATTAAGTAGAATTTAACTAATCTATATTTAATTGATTCATATAGCAAAAAAATATGAATACCCAATAGTTAAATTCCATCAAAGCAACATTCTAAGTCCGACTAAATTAAAAATTACAGACACAGAAGATACACATATATTCAACTACCCTTTTCTTACTTCCTCTCCACTTTGACCAAACCCATTTGGTAGACTGCTAAAATCCCCAAAATAATTTTTGTTTAAGTAACCAATATGAGTCAAATGGAACTAGGCACAGGTTAGGAAATAAAATGATGAATCATATAACAGCAAATTGAGAACAATTAAACCACAACAATGCACTCAAATCTTAATTTACTAACTTATCAATTACTGCCAGATACCAAAACAATCCCTAATAACAATCATTTAATAAAATCAAAAAAGAAAAAAAGAAAAAAAGAAATCCATAACAATTACAGAAGTTTTGGCAAACCAAATTGAAAGACATGGATATTGCTGAAAAAAATGCAATCCAAAGTACATAACAAAAACTATAAAGAGTAGTTGTATCAATTTGCTATACAAATTCACATTTCAACATAAATACCTAACAAAATCAACTCCATTTTAGATCTATTAGCTAGAAAAGTTTAGTTATATGACTTTGCTATAAATCTTCAACATGTCCAGTAATGAATGAATGAAAACATAAGAAGGAAGGAGTAGAAAATAAAATATAATTTTAATTACCTTTGAAATAGAAAGAAAATCATATTTAGAGTTAGAAGATACAAAAATAGAATATTACTTGTGAAAGGAATAAATCTCTGGCATGCCTTCGTTTTGTGAGTAGTATTAAGAGACTCAAAGTCGATGATCCCTATTAAACAATCTCCTAAACCCAATCTACTAAGAACTTTAGCTAGATGGACCCAGAGCAAATGATTCCTTTAAAACAGTCCTTTAACCCAATCTGTTAAGTACTTTAATTGCTTGGATTCATCCACATTTGTGACAATCTATTTAACATGAGAGATTAAGTCTTGTTAGAAGCCATTCCAACACTTAATGTACATTAGAATTTTCTAAAGCACTAATCTTACAACCTATTTAAACCATTGAACAATGTCAAAATTAAACAATATCAAAACATCTCAAAATCAAGATTGACCAATGATAACAAAACCAAGCAAAACTCACAAAATTGCCAAACAAAAAATGAAATTGAAAATGAGATGTCAAATCCTAAAAGTGGATTGTCTAAGTGTAATAAAGAAGCATATTTCAAATCTTTCTATAACTATGAATTCAAAGATTTAAAGGTTGTTATGTCGATATAGTAATTCCTTTCAAATTAAACAACTTCTCATCCTTATTGAACTCAAGTATAAGTTCAGCTAAATGGGGTACATAATTTGACATGGTTTTAGACCCAAAATAACTATTAATACTCATCTATGTCAAACATGGCCAATTAAATGAAAGAGGTGAAGTAATAATCACATGAATTAAATCACCAATCAAAATTCCCATCAAGAACTATCCCCACTACAACATGCAAATAAAAAAAAGGAGCAAATAATAATCAAACAAATTTTATAAATTGTCCTTGCTAGCCCTTTCAAATCCGCAACATAACCCTATGGTAGCAAAACAAAAAGAAGTAAGAAAGCACAACTAGAGGGGAACAATGCCAACCCAACACCAACAACAATTAGAAACACCTGCAATTGGCAAAGTTAACATCATCTGTCAAATAGAAAAAAAAAATTGGCAAATAGTTTTTCAAAATGCCTAAAGCTTCATGCTTAATTTCTATATAGAAATGACTAAAAATGCCATAAATATCCTATCTCTTGATTTTGGTAATTCATTATATGTAGAAATGCTTAAAGCTTCATGTTTAATTTAAATTTTGTGCTTGGGATTTAGGATCTTAATTGTCTCTAAATATATTTTTCATCTAGCAAAATATCTTAGGCTCAAAACATTCAAATTATTCAAATGAAAATAGCCAGGTGAGCTGAACTACATGAGTCTAAGAACAATCTCATGCAATAAAATAGAATTGTTCAATAATCTCACTATATTTTCACGTAGTCAAATGCTATGAGAGTTTTAAAAAAAAGGGACAGAAAATGCCATGAATTAAAAAAGGATAGTCAACTACCTTTAAATGAAAACAAATAGTTTGTTACCTTTAAATTAAAAAAACTGGCAAATGAAAACCACCATGACAATATCCAACACATCACCCAAAACAAAAACTATAAGAAAAAAAAGGTCTCAATTAATTAATACACCTTGCACACACTATTTTTGTTCAATCATTTACTATCATAATCTACCCAACTTTACAAAATTTTCAAATGTGTGGAATTAATCCAATGCATACGCTTAGTCACAAGCTAACCGTGTCCTTTTTCCTCACCATTCCATCAAGTAACAATGAAGAAAATTAAAGAAAAGGAAAGTAACAGGGGGGAGATTCTTACTTGACAAATCTTAAAATTAAAGGCCCACTCTTAGTCCCTTTTTTTCACTAAGCAACTCTTTGATGTTCATCTCCTTCATGCCAAAAAAGGAAACTGAGTTTTTGTGAAAATAAAGAAACTAGCAATAAAAAAAAAAAAAAGGAAGAATGTTTCACCTATAAACACTAATATAAGGAATCCTAACAACATTTTTTGCCTAATTTTCTTTCTCTTGCTCCTCGCTTCACATCCCTTATTATATGTTCTATTCTCACAGCCCAAGGGCCACCATGAAATACACAGCCTAGTACCGAGCTCTGTTTTCCTATCACCACTTAAATCTTGCCTTATTTGTTCAAATTCACATACATGCAAAGTCAACCAATACCTCTTAAATCCTAATACCTACCATTCTTATCAAAATCAACAACAAATGCCCAAAATGAATTTCATTCTTGATGCTAAAAATCTGCACAACAGAAACAATTCAAAAAAAGAAAAAAAAAAGAGAAAAAAATATGTACCTAGGAGAAATTAGTATCCACTCCATACACTAAAAGCAACCAAGCAAAGAGCACCAAAAGAAAAACAACACTCCCAAGATTTTACAATGGTAGTCAAATGCAACACCATAGGGAGTATTGGCATTCAAGTGCTTAAATCTCAAAATCCAATTGAAGCGGGAAAGCAAGTTTGCTCTTTCATCACAATGATGACCAAAGACCAATCTTAAAAGATTGAACAAAACACAAAAATGGAAATGGATTAACCAAAACATTGTCAAAAGAAAGGAGTAAAAAGACCCAAAAGCCAAGGTGTAAGACAAAAAGGGATACACAACACACTGAGGAGAAAACAGAGAAAACAAAGAAAACCATCTTTGTGAACAATCGACAAAGAAATCTATTACCAAAATGACCAATGGTCAACAACTGAAGCAGTTGATTTTTGGCAGATAGAATTATGCAAACGAAAATTAGACTAAATCAACTTGCCTTTGTGTTGAAATGAATTAAAAACAGCAGAATACCTAAATCCACCCCCAAAGTATAATGGTAGGGATAGATCAACCCCCAAACAAAACACAGGGACAAGTCCACCCACAAATTTTTCAACTTGGACAAATCACCCCAAATTTAACATGTGACGTCGTCTGACGTCAACAATTTATTAATTTGTTATGTCACTAATAATGGATTACTGACTCCAAATGACATCAAATTAACAGATTATTGGTGTCAGATGACGTCACATGTTAAATTTGGGGTGATTTGTCCAAATCGAAAACTTTGTGGATGGATTTATCCCCGTTTTTTGTTTAGGGGTGGATCCATCCTTGTCACTATACTTTATGGGTGGATTTGGGTATTTTGCCATTCAAAACCACCCCAACATGTGAAATGTAGAAACAATGATAGCAGGGTACAATGGGAAGAGTGACAAAATGATGGACATACCCCTCATAACAAGTGAAATGGAGAGACAAAGTTCTAAGGGTAAAAGTGGAAATTCCAAAGCAAATGATGAAAAAGCCACTCATGACTTGTGAAATAGAGTGAGCAAACTTGGAAGGCAAAAGTAAAAAAATAAAAGTTATTGTAGCAATGTGAGAAGGGGGCTTCCACCTATTTACTTATTTGATGTTACTAAAATAAATTAATTTATAGATTTACATTTGGTATTTAAAATTATTAATTTATAAGTTAATTTTAATTTAATTTGTTTAATAAACATTAATTATTTTATTAATTAAAAGCTATAATTATTTATTTTTTTAATAATTAACATGATAACATTTTAAGTGGCCCTAACATAATAGAAGGTCAAGTAGTCACAGTTGTTTTTTACTATTAAAGATTTATAGTTAGCCAATGTTTTTCAAAACAAATTGTTGTGTAATTGAATTGTACCAAATTACATATAATGTTTGTCTTTTACCAATCTGTTTTATAATTTAATATAATTTGAATTATAAAATACAACTTATATTTTTCACTAAATTTTTACTATTAGTTTGTCTCTACCTATGAAATAAATCTACTTTTTATAATTAATTTATTTAAAAATG